AAAAAAAAAAAGTAAGTGTTGTTGGCTGGGTGTGATAGCACACATTTTTAATCCCAACACTTGAGATTCAGAGGCATGTAGACTCTGTGAAAGTCTGTCTTAAAAAGAAAAAATAAAAAATAAAAGAAAGCCGGACGAGGTGCTACGTGCCTGTAACCCCAGTACTCGAAAAGGCAGAGGCAGGCTGATCTCTGTGAGTTCCTGGCCAGCCTGGTCTACAAAGCAAGCCTAGGACAGCCAAGGCTACATAGAGAAACCCTGTCTTGAAAAACCAAAAAAAGAGGGCAACACCATAGAAGAAAAAAAAAAAAAAAAAAAAAGAACAAAACAAAACAAAAGGAAAAGCAAAGTCCTAAATCTTGAGTTTAGCCGGCAAATACACCTCTCAGGCAGTGGGCTGTGCTTCCTTGCACAGTGGAACCTAGCACACTCTCCACACCAGGCCAAACAGCCAGCAGGTGTGCGCCCTCATGCAGGACCTTAGACAGCTACACGAGGAGAGGCCTGTGGCGTGGCCTGTCTCTTGGGTCAAAGAGGCCCTGCCTGTTGTGGCAGCTCTGGAGCAGAGAATGAGAGCTGCCTTGCTTCCTGGCACAAAGCCTAGGCTGCAGTTTGCTATGGACCGTACACTCAGCAAAGGAGAGAAGATCAACCCACAAGAGGAGGAAAAATATGTCAAGGACTAACTGTGAAGCAGGAGGACAGTGCCAACTTTTAAGGAAATTCGGTTGAAAAGATCTCGGAAGCCAAATTCCTGTGAGGTGGGGGGTAAATTCGTGAGAGTGCTGCTGTGGCCTTCTTCTGTCTGCAGTAAGGCCCTTTTGTAAAATAAATGTTCTTCATTCTTTGGCACCTGCTTGTGGGTGACTCAATCTTTCAAAAACTGGACAAAAGGGATTATATAAATCCATAGTATCTAGGGAATTCCTCTAATTAGCAGTGCCAGTGTATTTGCAAAAAGTTTGATTTTTTAAAAAGCAACATCTGCAAGCAGCTGGCCTCTTCACATAGTTCTCATTGCCACTCCTTTACTAAAATCAATGTTAATAACACATGACCCAAGCAGAACACACCGCAGCAATCCATTTAATAAGTTAGTTTAATAAAATCTGGTTCTTCGGTATTTTCAGTGATTTTTTTTTTCTAAGTAAGTAATTCTTAGTATTTTCCAAAGTTAACTTACTTCCTTGAGAATTCTCCAGACTATTTTAAGTACATGATTGAATCTCTAAAGGATTGTTTGGCTGGGATTAAAATAAATATTTAAGAAAAGTATAGTATGAAACCAAGAGAAATTTACAAAACCAAGCAGCAAAGGCAAATGCTCCCTATATAATGGGGCAACTCCAGCAAGCTTAAAACATTTCCTTGCAAAAACAGATGCTCAACCTGGCCTCCTCTTAGTCTTATGTGCTTAAATACTCTTGTGACTTGTGGCACCTTCGCTTTTTAGCTGGCATTGTCTAGGTGCTTGCTGCAGGCAGGTCCTGAGCGAGGCCTTGCCTGGAAGAAGGACACATTCCTGTGCATGTGCATGCACACATGCCTCTCGGCTGCACACACCCTGAAGCCACAGGGGAACCAGAGAGCACTTGCCCAGCACCCTGCGGACCGTGGGGGCAACTTAAGAAGAGGTGAGGCAAGGGGCTTCACACGTTCTACTCACTGTCTCGGGTGCAAGTCTTTCGTGAATGGCTGAGCGATAAAAGTAAGCAAAGAACTTAAGTCTGATGAGTATGTATTTCTTTTCTATGATAAAGTTTTTACTGTGTCACTATTTATAGAGATGGGGATGGGCTTCTTTGGTAGTGAACTTAACAATGAAATAATGCTGCAAAGCACACTGAGTTTTAAAGAAAAGGCAGAGGTTCAAGGCGATGTTTATGAAGTAAGCAGACCCTCTCAGCCATGAGGGCTTTGTGCACTCACACAAGCACACCCGTGCTTCTTCAACCATCTACAAATGCGGGGCATTATTAAGAGGGGCGTGTTCTGCCAGGCACATAATTTGTATATTTAAGGGGGGTGTATGGAATGAAAAAGCGAAATATGTTAAATTTCAAAGGACTTGGAAGTAATGCTGCCTGTGAGCTTGTATTACAAATAGCCCCACATTATTACATAGGCTATTAATGAGGCGAAGTGAATGAAAGTACAATTTGAATATGCATGACTCTATCCAATGAGTGGGACTTTTGTGTACTGATGAGTTTCCCCCCCTCCTAAAAAGGATTAAAATTATTCTTAGAGAAGTATGACTGCCCAGAAATGAGTAAAATAAATGTATTTACACCACAGAGTCACACTGTATTCACATGGAATATACAGGTGCTAAAAGATTGCTGCTGACTCCACCTACAATTTCTAAAACATATGTATTCTGTTTTCCACAGGAATATTATTCAACTCAAGCAGCTGTATTAGCACAATCTCTAAGCAGAAATAATGATTTGGTGGAGATCCCTAAAAGTAGGCAAGGCGAAGTAAACCTGAGTACAAAGCCTTTAGTTCCATAGTAAGAAACACTAGTTAAAGGACTGGGGAATGGGTAAATTATTGCGCCAAATGGCTGAGAATTAATCTCTGCTGACTAGCTGTAATCTGACGGGGCGTCTGTGTCCCAGGGAGCCCGCAGCATGTCCCTGGCGGTATGTGCAGTGTGTCGAGTCTGCGTGGCAGCCTTTGTCCTCGCTCACAGGCGGCCTTTCCCCTCATTGTCCATAATATCCTCATGCATCTGGGACGCGTGGAATGCATTCATACTAACAGACTTACCATTGTTTTCCCTCAGAAGCTTTGTTGAGCAAAGACTGCATCACGGTTACTGATAATTATATTGCTTAATTAATCAAGACAAAAAAAATTTGCAAATCATTGCCTGGTTGCCAAGCAAGGAGATAAAAAATGACAACAATACAAGCTGAAGCAATATAACAAAAGTAACAGCTATCTGATCAAAAATTCTTATATAATGAAGCTATTAATGCTAAATCGGTTAATGTTAGCATTGCTCCAGGTGTCTCTACTTAGATGCAAACAAAAAGGCTAACATTATGGATATAAAAGGCCAAATGTTGCCATGGATTCTGTAACCTGATAGAGAGGACAGCCTTTTCATTTGATTAGGGAATGCAATTTAAATACCAGGGACTGAAGCCAAACAAACAGACTTTCCCTCCGAAAGCCTCCTGCATTCACCCTGGGGTCAGTGGTTGGTGAACAAAAGGTCAGCTACACTTGCCCTGGAAATGTCTGGATTAATTTTATTACATTGTAATGGTTTGTACTTTAAATGTAGGGATAACACTAAGTTTTCAGTTGCCCATTATTCTCTTTTTCTCTTTAGGCTTTTTTGAGCTACAATATTAAGAACCAATTTTCTCAATTCATCTTGTCAGAATTGATGACCAGTTTATCAAACTTATACATATTTTGTAGGAAAATTTAAAAAGCATATTAATAACTTTTTATTCATTTTATACTACATTGAGAAATGTCACTTTTGACACAGCAGAGTGAAATGAAATGCTTTTTATGTTCTTCATTCGCTTTAAAAATAAAGGGGACATTTTAAGGACATTTTAGAGGACCATCCTGAAAATGAACTAATAAAACCACACTACATATGAAATATGTTTTTTAATTTTGAAGGCTAAAAAGTGCTAAATCTGTTATTTCTTTAAGATTAAAATTATCATTTTAATTCTTTAAGTAATTCTCTTCATGGGCAAATGTAAATGTTAGCACTGAGCCATTTTCTTACAGCATAAAACTGAAAACACACAGGGGTCTCAATCTAATATGAATTCTGACATATTCTTCCTGTGAGCAGAGGGAAGATTCCCTCTTTTATGAGGCTTTCGTGGATAGAGACAGTCCATGCACTGGAGAATTAATGTATGTATAGTAAACTTAGAACTCCACTGATCTTATTTCTGTGATAGTAACTGCATACACATACACATATACACACAGAATTCCTGGTAGCAACCATAACAATAACAATGGCTAACACAGGAGAAGCCTTTACTCTGGTGCCAGGCAATGTCTGAAGCCCTTTTTCATTTATTAGCACATTTAATGCTTATAATGAAACTTTAGGTTACAAATCCAGATTGGAACAACAAAACTCATGACCTGTTTTTTTTTTGTTTTTTTTTTTTTTTCTTTTTTAAGTTTAAAAACAGTTTTTACAATAATGCTGAGCTTCTCTGGGAGAATGACTTTGGTGTAAATAAATATATTTACTATCAATCTGAGAAAAAAAGTTATTTTTTTTCTCAAAGAATGGCTCATATGCTTAATATATTTAATTTCAAATCTAGGAACACTCTTCTTAATGAATTGAAAATAAAATAAGTCACTACACAAAGTGGTGTTAAAATACCAGTAAAGGCATGACAAGGATCGAAACTGCAGCCGATTAGTACACACGACATAGACCATTGGATTGTTCTAGCCAGCCCCGTGATCAATACCAATTGACATGGCTGAATTGATTCTGTAGCAAGGTGCTTTGATTGTTAATACTCATCACGTACACTGTGCTTCAGGGTACCAATGTCTTTGTGGACATGTCCAAAATCCTTCAGGATTGACTGCAATCAGCACCAGTCAAGGCTCAGGGACCAATGTTCATCCATCAAACACTGCTTGATTCCAGACCAATGGTTATTCCCCAAATAACTATGTGAGAGTAAAATTCCATCAACTCTTATTATTAATAATGTTTCCCAGTTAAAATTATAATATTCTTTAACTTACAACATTTTAAAACATTAAAATTATTTAAAACCCCACATATTTCTCTAACATAATTTTCAGATAATGCAATGTGGAATTTTGTGCCCATGATTAAGAGTTCTTTTGAAAACCACACTTCATATTAAATTCCTATGTAGCATACACAATTCAGATATTTGTAGGACATTCATCGATTTTTTGAGAACAGTGAATCCAATGGCAATATAGGAGTCAAGGCAACAATGAAAGAAGCATACCTCAGGCTTCTTAGTTATCGTGATAAAGAACATATGATTCTTCATTGGGTAAATAATGATGGAAACGTCTCCAAAGGCTGTTGGGATAATACCCCTGCGGTAGTCCCTGGAGTGTTCAGACCAGACGATGTGGACCTCGTCATTCCCCAGGTGACGGAGCTGCAATAGCAAATTGGCTCTTTATTAACCAAGGTGCTAACAACAGTTCATGAGGGGCTGTGGCTTACAAATTGAATTAGAAAACTCTGAGGCCAAAAATATTTTAGCCCCAAATCAGGCTACTACACTGATGCCCTATTGAGAATTCAAAAACGGACAATTTCATAAAACTCCTAGACAATTTCATAAAACTGCTAGAATGCGTATTTGGTCCTAAATCACACACAGAGGCACCAAGGACACATTCCAGTGGGATGGAGGAAGACCTCTTTGAGGTCTCTTTTACACAGATTCTATTTCTACACCAGTCGTATGCTACAGTGCTGAGAATGTTTTTCAACAACTAAATAACATTCACTTTTTCTAATCCCTATTGTTTTAAAACTTTTCGCCTCTTAATCCAGTGGTTAATTAAGAAATAACACCATAAGATAACACATGCTATCCCAACACAACTGTATGTGTACACGTATATATATGTGTATATATATTTATGTGTGTGTGCATATAAATGTGTATACACATATATTATAGTGTGTATGACATTTCAACGACAATGTGTACACACTGAAGATCACAATCAATTTATAATAAATAAAACCCCACACAAAAAAATCTCTTACTTTCATGAGTAAATTTACAGTTTTATGTTGGGCTACATTTCTGATCTCAGATCTTACTGATATAGCTCAAGTAGTTTAGTTCACTTATTTCCACATTTTATAAATAAAGAGACTATGAACTTCAAAAAACCTTAGACTCTTGGATGTCTTTGAGAAGGCCTTGGGAAGTCTCCAGAGACCCTTACAAGCTCTGCTGGGGCAAACCTTTGTAAATGCAAGAACATCACTGATCAACTGCCGGTGTGGTGATCCCGCCAACCTAAGCTGGAGCAAGCTGCAAAGGAATCATTAGAGAAAGCCAGAAGCATAACTAAAAGGAACAGGCCACAGTTATGGAAACACTGGCTCAAACAGAAGTTCTGAAGCTGTAAAGACTGCTAGAGCCAGGGGCTTAGAGGCCTCAGAGGAATGAGGTTTTTGCCTCAGAGGAACCAACCAAATTCAAAAGCACCTTAGTATGACAGACATGTTATGTCAGAGCTTATGTTCTAGTTTTGTCTTAAAAATTAGAAAAAGGATACTCTGGAATAGTGTACATTTGAAATGTATCACCATAGATACTATTACCTTTAGGTAAGATTTGATCATAAAGAGAAAACCAAAAGTGACCTCAACACGGCCTCTTTTCTAGTCATCAAGTTACAAAGGCAGCTGTTTGTTGCGGTGCCTGCTTATTTTTCATTCTACACTTCTGGAAGTGACTATACACATCAATTATTTACAAAGAGACCTGCACCTGTACCTTTGTGCTTATATGGAGTGAGGTATGGGATTAAATTGTGTCTGAACAGGGGCTCCAGAAAGGTGCAACTGCAGGAGCCCAGCACAAGCCACAATGTTCCAGAACAACTTAATGGAGTCAACAACTTGTAAATGCAAACATTACCCTCTGCACCTTTTTCCTTCTTCTCCTCACTCCATCATTACCCCACACAAGTGTTAAAGGCTCAAAGGGTAGCAGGCAAAAAAGAAAAACCATAGCACAGCCAACGCACCTATAGCACAAAGGTTTGGTTGTTTTCTTTTCGTTTTAAGGCACCAAACTCGCATAGCTGAAGGCATCCCTCTAGTCCAAAATTTCTTTCCTTTTGTTTTAACAGTACTGGAAATGGAAACTAGAGCTTTCTGCATGCACTGTTCTACACTGCCAGCCCCTGAGTTACATTCCAGCCCTATTCTTAACTAGATTCTACTGATTCCTGCCTGCCTGCCTTTCTTACTTCTAATAGAACTTCTGATAACCCTCTAACAAGGTTTTGCCACTCAGCCCTTCTGTAGCGACAGCATGAGAATCTGGGCTGCTGACAAGACAAGATGGACAGGGCTCTCTCTACGGTAGATGTAGATTAGATCTAATGGACACTTTGGGAGGGATTTGGAGCAATAGGAGCTAACTATAAAAAGTGGGGCTACCCTGGAGTTCAGCTTACAGCCCTCATCTTACAAAGACAGCTAGCCCTGTACTCTTTGGTATGATGTTGACAGAAGCACCTGGATAGAGACAATCCACCTAACAAACACTGTTCAACCTTGCTGTTACCACGCAATGCCACACCTAATACCCACAGTCTCTCCTTTTCATCCACAAGGGCAGAGTACAGCCGGTCTGAGATGGCATAGTGATTACTGAAATTTTGCAGTTACTCTGGTGTTTCTAAAGTGTGTTATTCAATTATATAACCCAAATAAACCTCTCCTAATTTTATTTGCATCAGTATTCTGAGAAAACTGCAGCAGAGAAGAGCAGCGGCACACTAATTGACCCTTCCTCCCACTGTGGCGATTCTGCAATTATGGAAGAACTATTTTTGTAATATTCACCATCTCAGAGCTGCTTCCCATGGAATGCTCCTCAGATGTCTGGACATGTTACAGTTTAATTAACTAAACAACAAAACCAAGAGCTAAGACCACAGGACCAACTGATTGGTACCTCCAGAACAAAGTACAAAAATTACACCCTCATGTCTATGATATAAGAAGCCAAGTAGTAAAACAAATGAAATCAATATGGTTAAATTACCCACAGCAGAACATAACAGAGTTACCAGTCTCAGGACACGGGGGGAATATTCTTGAAACCTAGAGTCGTACTCAATTCAAAGGGGATTTCAGTAGAGAGATGCCACTGTGTAAGTGTTACAGAACTTTGATTAGAGGCCCTTACGTTAGGAATCCATCCACAGCTTTGCTCACAGACAGGTCAACTTGACTGCAGGTATGTGTCTTAAGGAAGTATGGACTAGAAGGGAGCTGCACTCATATTGGCTCCTGATTTACCTATGCTATAGGCTCCACAAGGCCTCAAAACTTACCATGCCCCAGAACAAACAGGCTCTTGAGCCTCAAGAAATCAGTCTCATGTCCTGCTATCCTTAGTCCTGACAGAGTTCTAAAGCCCTTCTGCCCGAGCTGTTCTGCCTGCTGCTGCCAGGCTGCACGCCTGCACGCCACTGGTGACACTGGTCATGGTCCACACCTAATAGGCTGACCTCCTTTCCCGACTAATTGCATTACATCGCCAGCTGGCTCCAGAAGGAGTCATCTGTTTGATTGAAGAATCTGGGCTCCTCAGTGGGCCCGGCTGCTACTTTTACTAAGTAACAGTCAGGCCTGACATCCCCATTGTTCAGCTGACAGTATGCCCATCCTAAAAATCTAAGTTTTATTTGTAAATTAACCAAGAAACTTCCTGCCAGAACAGAGCTGCTTAGAGACTGATAATGTGGGCCTTTCATCCCCTTTCACTCGCACTGTATCACTGCCAATTTGTTTTTCATGTGGCTGGCCAGCCTGAGGCTATAAAAGCCTTGTAAGACATAAGTGCAATTATAGTCCTGGAGTCAAATGAATTGGACAAATCCAATAGCACAGCTCTGTCCCCACTCTGCAAACCCCTACAGCAGTTAGATTAGCTGTGAAAAATCTAATCTAGCTAGAGCTAACAAATTTCTGCAGTGAAGGATCAAGAGTTCAGTATGGGGTTGCAACCGCATTGCAGGATTGAAAAGGTCCCCGCATGACAGGGGCAGAACAGAGCATGAATCACTTTAGAATTTTGCAGCTCATTTTTAAGCTGTTAGGGACAATTTAGTTAGAGTAAGTCAGGGAGCCAGGGGCTGCCGTTATGTGACTGATTTTTCTGCCTAACTGTGAGATATCCTGGTAAAGAGAGTTTATTGTTAATGATGCTAAATCTTAAAGCTGCAAAAGGTTTTAGCTGCTTTTTGATTATTACAGTGGGGAATCTACCATCCATACCAAGTCTTTATGGCAGCATTATGTCAAGAAAACAGTATAAAAACAAAATTAAAAAGCCTTTCTACTTCAAAACAGTTTACGTGCAAATCTTTAACAAATAATTGTCAATCATGAAAAAAAAAACATAGAATATGGTGACAATACACACAGTATGAAAAATTTACAAGGTACCCCAATTAAACAAACAAACATGTGAGTATAGCCTGGGGTTTCGATAAAGGTACTCCAGATTCTGGGGTACCAGTGAGCTACCGCAGAGCAGGGGCATCCTTTCTCTGAGCACTGTAGCCATCAGAACCCAAGCTGGACAGGCAGAGCCTTCACACCTGTGGGAACCAGCACATGGCTAGCACTCCCACTAGCTGTGAGGTTCCCAGCCCAGGGAGGCCTAGGCTGTATGCAGGGCTATGCCGATGAAAGGCTGTTGAATTTCTGAATGCAAATTGTGTTTTATGCATCTGTGACACTTGATCACTATGGAAATTGTCTGTGACCTGAGTTCTGATGATGTCTCACGTGCACTGTTGTTCATCATGTATGTAGTCCAGACATCTGTGGCTACAGTGGTGAAAAGGCAAAACCAGAGACAAAAGAAATGAAGCAGATACAGTAGGGTCCGTGAGCTAATATCAATCATCTGGTTAATGGGGCAGGGGAAAAAGAATCAATTACACCAATGGACAATGACAAGGGCTAACGGCCAGAAAGTTCCTACCATGTATTGTGCTAAGCAATTTTTCTGGCATTATCTCACTTAGTTGACTCAACAGTACTGTACCATGGGCTTCATTTTCAATCTTATTTAATACATGAGAAACTGAGGCATAGGCTAGTAAAACAATCAGACACATACTTAGGCCTAGATCTGTCTGGCCCTAGCTCTAATCATGCACCACACTCCCCATCATGGAGCCTGAGCACTTGAGATCCTGTCCTCAGTCCCTTACATCTGGGCTGGTGAAGGAGAGTGGTGCCAGGTTAGAATGGAGGCTGTCACCTACTAGCCCAAAGGGAAAGCACAAGTCATGGTTGTTCTAGGACACTCCTCTCATCTAGACACTTTCAGGAGTGGTTTTCTTACCACACTATATTTCTCTCCCATTAATGTGTTCCTCATCCAAAAATAGGGCCTGCTCAAGTAAACATTCTTCAGGTTGGGGAGTTTAAGGCCCTGTCTCTTTGGTGGAGTTCCTTTGGGGGCATGAGGTTTCCTTTGAATTTCAGAGAAAACTATCCATAAGGTGGAAGGTGAGGGAGAACAAAGGGTAAGCATTCAAGGTGGGACATCTGGGCAGCAACACATCTGCAGGGTCACTTTGACAATGGCAGCTCACCTTGGGTTGCCAGGGAATGCTTTTCTAGAGCCATACAAGCACTTTTGTCATACCATTGCCAATCTGTGAGGTAAAAATATTCTCTCTCAGGTAATTAACATAGAAGAAGATCCAAAAGTAGCCACACTGAAGACCCTTCTTCTTCCTAGTCTTTAACCTTAGGACTTAAGGTTGTCCTAGCTGGCATTTTAGATTGAGCACAGTTGTAGGCAGAGGAAGACAGACACTGACTTTGAACCCTGGGAAAGCAGCTTCCGTGTGTACCAAGGGCTTGGTCACCACCCAGACCCACAGAACCTCACTTACACATGTTGTCCCTTACCTTTTTGGTGTGTGAATCGTCTGAATCTGATGGCATTCGAGTGGAAACGTGGAAAATTACTTCCACGGTTGAGGTAGCATAGTAAGGGGCCGTCTGTCCCGTGCTGCCATTGCGCTGAAGACCACCCATGAAGCCACAGTGGGTTGAGAGATCCACCTGATAAAGGTAACAGAGCAAAACGTGAGGGTCAGAAGTGAGCTGATCTTATTCATTAGGCAGCAATGAGTAGAAAAAAATGAGCTATTCTGATTTCAAACTATTTCATTTTGATTACAAACAAATACAAGTTAGACAAAACTGAAATTTTAAAGAAAGAAGTGAAGAACATAAAAAACAAAACTGGTCTGAGACCCTATTATATGAAAGCCATTCCCAAAATTTAAGGGCTGTCTGCCTCAGCAGTACAGTGCTTGCCTAGCAAGTGCAAGGACCTGGTTATGATCCCCAGAATGTGCTACAGCATATACAGACACAAAACCCAAACACCAAAAACTCCTCAGCCTCCCTTAATTTTTGGTGTATATTTCTCTAACTTCTCCTCTTCCTCATATATGTGGGACTATTTGTATCTTCATATGTCTGTATATTAGATTCCCCTTCTCTGTGATTCCCCTATTCTGTGATATGAGTTTCAGCAGTTATCTGAAACCACACATAGTACTGTTTTGTTCTCTGTATACAGACCTATAATAAAGTTTAACTTATCACTTAAACAAGTTATTAACAACTAAAAAGATATAAAAATCTAAGTCTGGTGTAATAAGAGTTGCACAAATGTGTATCTCTTTCAAATATAGTCTACTGTGCCTTGACCTCTTCACTTACTGAAAGTAGTTCATGGTGTCTGGCATAACACCACTACCCTTCGAATGTGGCACTACCATGTATAAACACACACCACACACCCTTCCCACCTCCACCCTCAAAACAGTTCCTCACTGATAGACCTGAGGGACTTTCTGTTTCTCAAACTGGAAGGAACACCTAAAAGAGTATTTCTGTAAGATGCTGGATCAAATAAAACAGATGTTACACAACTCAGCAGCCATTACTAACCTGCCTTTCAAATAACTGTTGAGATCACCACTGCCATCACTCTATAGATCTTTCCTTCTTAGAAATTAGATCTCAATTTTAACTTGCCACAAACTATTATTTTTTTTTTCAATAAAACACCCATCCTAACAAAATGAAATAGGAAACTACTTCTGTGCCAAATATAACCAATACCTGAATTAATGTTCTAGCCATACTTTGGTTTTCATTTTCTGTGGTTCCAGGGATGGAACTCGGGGCCTTTGGTATGCTAGGTAAGTGTTCTACTACTGAGGTCCACTCCCAACCCTCTCTTAGCTGTTTCTTTAAACTTGGCTAAGAAGGCATCATTAAAACAAAACAAAACAAAACAAAAAAAAAAACAATATATAAGTTAAATAACAAATATATTCTAACCTTACTAACAAGAATAAGTGGCTCACTGCAAGTGCCACAGCTCTGGGATTTTCTGGAAAGAACATGGCCATGGCCTTGACTTTGATGTATTTTATCTTAATGCCACTGGCAAGGAAGCCCTTGGTAAAACTGTACTCTTGACAGAAAAGTTGTTCTTATGTAGCCAAAGTTATCTTCGTAAGATATCTACTTCCCTGATGCAGAACTCAGACAAGTGAGCAACCAAAAGTAAGAGGAAGAAAAAAAAATAGTATTTTATTTACTTTGATTTCTGTTTGGACTACTCTCACCTATGCTCAGGTACTAGGGTTACACTTTGCTCTAGACTTATGTTCATTGACATAGGTGTATGTCTCTGTTCATACATTGATTAGTTTATCTTCCAGCAAAGAAATCCAAATTCGTATCAGTCACTCAGGAGTGTGCATGAGGGAACTGCAGTGACAGCCAACTACATTCAAGTTTGAGTTTTTCACTTTGTCCATGCCCTCCATTTTTCATCAACTAAGTCACTACTTTTTCCTCAAACCTCCCACTGGCCACACTCGTCTTCTTTTGCCACAAACTGCTGCCCATGGCTAGCTGAGCACACATGACTATACAGTTCTGATGCAAAGCAAATCAAAAGCTATTAAGCGGAAACAAAAGTCCACAAATAGAATAGCAAAAAGAAGCTAACAGATTTTAAGGTCAATGCAGTCTTCAAGAACTCTATGCATGCCAACATATACAACTCATGTCTGCTTTAAATACTAATAGTCAGCAATCACATAATGAATGAGATTAAGTACCTCCCATCCAAGACCAGCAACAAAGTCTTCATATGCTTGGCTTCCTCTTTCATTGGCGAGAATAGAACACTTGTCTTCTTGCCCCTCAGCAATGTAAAACACTGCAATCTTATGTGTCTCGCGGCTATAAATGTTTAAATTTAAAGGAGTTAGAATGCATACACAGTTTTATTTTGCTCTAGTACTATGGCTTTGCTCCTTATGGCACTCACTAGAGGTCAGTCACTATTCTAAGGCATTCAACACATGGCTTCATTTGCATTCTGCAAGCCCTGTGATAAGACCAGTGTTATTACTGTATCGTCTTCCTTGTAGAGGTGACTGAAAGGAGGCATGAGGTTAAGGAAGCAGGAGACCACATCTTAGACGCTGAAGATGCTAAAACAGTAGCTATCAGAGCACATCATCTGCCAGATTCTTCCCACGCTTGGTGATGAACACTGTCTTCTAAAGCATTTCAAGTAGACATGTAGTGTGACTAGGTATCAGTTGAAGCTATGAGACATGCAAAGACTACAAAAAATGGAAACAGGTATTTTCTTTGTGAAAGGACGTGTTCTGACTATTTGGAGGGAACTCTATATGGTGGACAGTTGTTCTGGGAAGAGTCTTTTGGACATATAAACTCTTTAACTGCTTGCTCCATGATAGATGTGTGGCAGTTCCCTGTTAAATCATATAAACATGATGCACTCTGACGTCTTATCTTGTTTTAACATCCAGTATGGTATTTGGTGCATAGTATGGGCTCAGCTAAGTCTCTGTTAAGCTGACCAGATAGATGACAACATATTTGAATATGTAATGGCCAGTTTCTACAAAAGATACAGTGAAGTATTAAAATAACTAGAACCTGCCCTATCTAGCCATTTGGTGATAGTTTGGAGATAAAAGCTTGACTGTTATTGAGATAAAGTTTAATAAAGAAGCATTCATCATTTGATAGCACCATTGTCCATGAGCTTTATTCTATTGTAGCCTCAATAGTAGAAGAATCAGATCCCCACTTCCGGGGGCAGCCCCACCCTTCTCACATTCGCATTACATCATGAAACACTGCATAGGAAAAAGCATCAATTGCTTCAGCAACACGGAAATGTTTCTATTGTCTAATTGTTTAATATCTCAACACTGTAACATGATTAGACATCCAAATTGGTAGATCTGGACTCATATATTTTAACAAATTCTCAAATATTTCCTTCTTCATGGCTATTTTTCTACTTATTAAGGAAGACTAATTGAAGCTAAACTAAAATGTTACATAAATCACTGAAGAAAGAGCATTTGTGACTATTCATTAGCGAGCTATTCATCCCTCTATCATTCTAATGGAATAAACGTACATGAAGAAAAATAAAAAAATACAGAAAAAGAATAAAAAGAAAAATTCTCAGTTTGAACATGTAAACAAACAACATGGCTACGCCTCTTTAGGAGATGGAATGAGACGCTGTAAAGAGGCTGCTGAATTTACTATAGTGATGGGCCTTACAGGAAGTGTACAATCCTTCAGTCAACACCTTAGGGAATCTAGAAACTGCCATACCATTTATTGCCTTGAGAGACCAGCAGCGGACAACAAAAAGGGTCCTTACAACATGATTGGCTTATCGTAAGAGCTGTCATAATTTGGCAGCTTAGATAATAGTAGCAGACATACCTAAAACATTGTTTCAATAAGAGAACAAAAGCATAGTTACTTGATTTCTCTCTGCAACTCTCTCTACATCTTAAAAGTCCTTAGCATTCCATTTTTCTCTCTTCTATAGACATGACATACAAAAACAAAACAAAAAACCAACCAACCAACCTCAGGAAATGGATGTTTTATCCTTAAAGCCCAGGACTTTTCCATCCTGGGTCCCTGAGTCCTTGTTAACTCAGTGTAGGCGTACAAAGAGCTAAGCTCAAATGAAGGAGGAATGACTGACGTGGGTGTGAGGAGAGGTGACCTTTAGCTGTAAACATTCATCAGATTTCACATCCTCCAAAACATTAGCGCTGCAGAGAGCCTGCTAAGGTGTGGACACTGTGCCTGGGCTTATTAGCACCAGCTTTTGAAATGGTGACTACAGTATCAACTGCGCTTCATATCTACAAGCAGCTTTTGAGATGGTGACTACAGTATCAACTGCACTTCATATCTATAAGCAGCACCGCCAGTGCACGAAGGGGCAGGTAGCTCAGGGACACACATAAAATCAACAATGTCCCCTTCTTCATTAGAATGCATTTTTTTTCTTCCTTATTAGGAGCAGATCAGAGTAAGTTGTGTTTTCTTGTGCTGTCATGTTTTAAAAGCCAAACAAAGGAAAACATGACTTTACCATTTCCTTCATCATACAGTGGCAAGAAAGCCCACAGAGATTGTATATCCAGCCATCACAGACAGTATGCAGACCTTAGCTGCAAGACTACTTTTTCTCAAAGCTGGGGAAGAACGCACTGTGCTCCCACAACATTGATATAAATTGACACTAGGAATAAAAAGAAATGTCCTGAAAGTTGAAGGACAAGATGTATTCTTGCTTGGTAGTAGACCAATCTATGGCACAGGCCAGATTTCCTACAGGTGAAGAGCTCCAGACTTAGTTTGGGTTTTTAAAAGACAATCTTGAAAATTACCTTTTCCCATTAAATAAACTGATGTGCATTTAGAGGCCATGACAACAGACATAAGTCTAGGACGTGGTGTTTTAAGTGAAGGTTAATCAAAGGGCAGAAGATTGCCAATCAGCTACCCAAAGCCATATTTTACTGCAACAGCACCCCAGGGAGCTAATTCAATTGCACCTCATGCAACTAAAGTGCATTAACATCCAACAGATTGGCTACAATTACAAGATACCAGTGCATTCACTAAGCACTGGAGAAGCAGGGAATAATTCAGCGCTGGGAGAGCTGGGCTTGGGGTCCAAATGACTGTTTATTTGACACGGAGGGACGAGAGGGAGTGAAGCAAGTGCACGGGCCCCTCGGAACCCCTCACAGAATTTCCAGAGGGTGCAGTCTCTGACTTAGACAGAAAAATGGCAGAACCAGATCTAAACACTTTTCAACTCTTTTTGAAATTCAAATTATGCTGTACTTAAATTAACAAATGAACATTTAAAATACCAACAAAGTTTCAGGATCTGCCCTGAGGATGGTTTCTTTTTTCAATTACAACCACAAATGAATCATTTAAACCTGTATTTTCTTTTCTTTTAAGTTGATTCTAAAATGCTTACCATTCTCCAGAGAAGTCAAGTTACCAGGAGGAATGGCCTTCACATTACCTTCTGCAGATAGAATCAGGCTCACAACAGCCACCTTAGCACATTCCCAATACTCAGAAAACACAAAATGGTACATGCCTCAACATGTGTGTGGCCCTCAGAAGCTATGAATGATGATAAAGATACATGGAAAAGGTAGAAAGAAAAAAAAGTATAAGGTCTTTGTTTTTTCCCCACAAAAAAAAGTATAAGGTCTTTTTTTTTTTTCTCCACAAAATGTCCATATAAATTGTTGTATCTTAATTCTACATGGTATTTTAAATGTTTTCATTTGTTAATTTAAGTAAAGCATAATAAACCCATTGAGTTTTTTATAACCGTGCTAAATACACACACAAAAAAGAAAAGCAACCTGTTTAATGTGTATAAGTACAAAATTAGAACCCTATTTCTCCCCTATATTTAAACCACTTCAAAATGGACTAAACACTTACATTTTTAAAGCTGGGCAAGGTGGAACACACCTTTAATCCCAGCACTTGGAGAGGCAGAGGCAGAGAATCTCTGAGTTTGAGGCCAGCCTGGTCTACAGAGCAAACTCCAGGACAGCCAGGATCCTCTACACAGAGAAACCCTGTCTCAAAAAAACAAAACTAAAGCAAGCAAGCAAACAGACAAACAAAAGACCTATATTTTACATTGAAGCTGCCAGAGTAAAACTGGCAGTAAATCGGGAAAATACTTCAAGGCAAAAAAAAAAAAAAAAAAAAGGGGGGGGGGGTTTTTTTTAAAAAAAAAAAAAAAAACTCCAAAAAATAGCAAATGGTATTATTCAAATTAAAATACTTTTGCACAGAAAAGGAGAAAAAAGCATCCTAAAAAGACAACTGTAGAATAAAAAAAACAAAACAAAAAGACCTTAACAACTAATGTCAGACAGGGCCTGATATATAAGATATATGAAGAATCACAAAGGTAAACACCAAATCAACAAAGTTTAAGGAATAGAACAGTTCTTACAAGAAGAAATACAAGTGGCCTATAAATAATTTTAAGAGTGTGCAACATCTTTAGCCAACACAGACATGCAATTACAACTGCCGGAAGATTCTGTCTCATCTCACTCAGTCAGAATGGCTGTCATCAAATACACACAGGGTAGCATGTGGCACTTGGGAGTGCTGTATTCACTGCTGATGGGAATACACAGTGCAACCACTGTAGACATCACTCCAATGATCAGCCCTCAACACACACACATACTAACAACACTAAACAGACTCAGGTTATATGCATGCATGTACACAGCCCTTTAAGAGGACTTAATAAAAAAATCTTTTTGTGTATGCAACAACAGTTAATGAAAAAGAGGCCATGAAGTTAAGAAAACAAGATTGGGAGTATCCTTCCTTTCTTTCTTTTCTTTCTTTCTTTTCTTTCTTTCTTTCTTTTCTTTCTTTCTTTCTTTCTTTCTTTCTTTCTTTCTTTCTTCTTTCTTTCTCTCTTTCTCTCTCTCTCCCTTCCTTCCTTCCTTCCTTCCTTCCTTCCTTCCTTCCTTCCTTCCTTCCTTCCTTCCTTCCTTCCTTCCTTTCCTTCCTTCCTCCTCTCTCTTTTTCTCTCTTTCTGTCTTTCTTTCAATTGAAGATTAGAGAAAGCCCATGAGCCCAGCAAACTTGGGGGTTGAGGCAGGAGAATTACATGCTTGAGTCTGGGCTATAGAGTATGTTGAAAGCCAGCCTGAGCAACTTTAGATTCCCTGTCTCAACAAAATAAAACACAACACAATACAACACAACACCAGGGTTCAGCCAAGATCAACATCAGCAGATTCTGGGCTACAGATATACTTTGGGTGTCTCCGTAAGTGCCTTCTTTTCTGAAACTGTATTTCTTTGATCCCATGCACTCACAAAGTTAGACAGGAAAAAATATTTTGGTATACTTTCACGTACCACTGACGCGAGTCCAGATTCTTTAGCTCTCTCAATAATTTTGAATTTTTCTTCAACAAATGAAAATTCTTCCTATAAAGACAAAAAGTATTCAAGAAGAAGTCCATGTGACCACAGACCAACTTTGCTACTTTCTAATCTAAACACAGCCGCTGTGGTGGTTTGAGTAGGAATGACCCCATAGGCTTGTATCTTTGAATGCTCGGTCATTACAGAGTGGCACTACTAAGGAGGTGTGCCTTGTTGGATGATGTATGTCACTGGGGCAGGGCTCTGAGGTTCAGAAGCTCGAGCCAGGCCCAGTACCCCTCCCTTCTGCTGCCTGAGGACCCAGATGTGCAGCTCTGAGCTACTAGCCAGCACATGTCCTCCTGCAGTCCACTGTGGTTTTCGCCAGGGTTACAGCAGATTAAACCTCTGAGCCTGTAAGCAAGCCACAATTAAATGCTTTCCTTTATAAGAGCTGCCATGGTCAGGTGTCTCTTCATAGTATAGTACCACTAAGCTAACCACCATCTAGCCATCTGCAATCTCATTTGCTGAAGAGCTGATAGATATTGTAGAGGTTTGATTGTGATACCTCCCAAATTCTCGGGCATTTGAATACTTGTTCCCTACTTGGTGGTTCTATTTGGGTAAATTCAGGAGACGAGCCCTTGCTAGAGAAAGTAGGTCATTAGGGGCAGGCTCTGAGATTTCAGAAGCCACGTGTCACTTCTTGTGTACCCTCTCTGCTTCCTGCCAGCAGTTAGAAAGGTGAGTTCTCAGCTGTTGTCCAGCTGTCATGTCTGGCACCTGCTGTTCCTGCCTTCATGGATACTAAGCACCTGGAACCGTATGTCCAAAATAAACTCTTTCTTCTGTAAGTTACCTTGTTCATAGTGTTCTATCATAGCAAAAGAAGAGTAATTCAGAAGTCTGCAAAATGAGCCCCACTTTCCTTGAATACACAAAGATGTAACAATCCCACTCTAACCTGTTGCTATCTAGTGACATGAGATGCCCTTCAGTCAACAGGTACATCCCTCACCTGTGAGCCCTGTGGACTCCTTGCCTTTAAAGCTGCACTCCACTCTCAGGCCCACTTCATCCCACCCTCTCCTCTGAGGTCTCCTCCACTATCCTCCCTGCCCATTGGACCAAACGGCTTCTCTTAGCCTCCCATGCCACTGTCCTTTGTATGAGGGGCAGCAAGTTCACATTTCTCATCAATTCCTTGGCCAGACAGTTGGTTTCCTCACTTTGTAGTCCATTTGCATCTTATATTAAAGCAGAAATAGTAATGATTAGGGAAGCATGGAGGGAAAAAATTATGCTTCATCTGCTTTCAAAGGTCTGCTAGGTGTTTTGAATTTAAGCTGTGTACCAGTATAGCACATTTAGTTTTATTTGTCTTTAATCCAGTAGCTAAAAATAATCTGTAAATATACTAAAGTCCAGAAAAACCTCTGTTTCTCATTCTTTAACATCACATAACAATAATAAAACATTCAGACCTCGGTTACCTTCTGTCCCAGGAATTCATTCCCAAGTCGTCAAGCAGCAATCTGCAGAAATAAAAGGGTCCCCGGGGCTCCACAGGTGAGGGCTGCCCTTGGCTGGTGACCCTCACGGCAGAATCAGAGTTACACCTCTGAATATACTCCTCTTCCTGTGTGTTCTGGCGCAGGATGACCTCAATGATCTCCTTCTCTTGGTCACAGTTCATTCCACACGGGGGTGGGGAAGGCTCATTTAGATTTAGTTGTGAAGGTAAAAGGCATTCAGGACTTGTATGGCCAATGTTTTCAAGTAATTTGTCAAGCATATCATCTCCCTCCTCACTGTGAGACAAATCTTTCTGAGGTCCGCATGGGTGATGCCAACCAGAAATCTGAAATGAGGGATTCTTCCCACTGGGTGCCAAGCGGCCTTCTAGAGGTCCATATAAAACCCTGCCATCCCAAGAGTACTTCCCTGAGATGTCCCTCACAATGACTCTCACATCTGAGAGGGAGCCCCCTGAAGCCCCTCCAGCTGGTCCTTCTGCTGGGGTCTGAAGATAGGAGATGAGGGTGCTGTCATTAAATACAAAGAGCTGCAGGTTTGGGCTCCTGAATACCTCCGAGGACAGCTCAGCTCCTTCCACGTGGGCATTGTCATGGTTCTCACTGACCAAGCTGTGCAGCACAGCAGGGCCCCCACTCAGTGGATAGTGACCTAGGTGGTTCACTAGGTGAGCCATCACCATTCGTGCAGTGAGAGGGATCAGTTCCACACTTCTCCTCTTTTTCTCTGTGAACAGAAGGAAGAAAATGTGAGGAGATAGTGGGGATACCACAAAATTTCAGTCAAGAGTTTGAATGTTGGACTGTTACTTTTGTTTTGTTTGGGGAGACAAGGAGTCACTATGTAGCCTTGGCTGGCCTAGAATTTACTCTGCAGGCCAGGTTGGCTGGAGCTCATAGAGATCCACCTGCTCCTGCCTCTGCTGGGATTAAAGGTGTCACTATCACACCCAGCTAAATGTTTGATTTTTAAGTGTGAGATTGGTTTTTTCATGTCTCTTTTCTTTTTTGACACTAATTCTATTTGAATATAAGCAGATGGTTGAAATAGACTGCCAAAGAACCAACTTACATGAAGATGTTACTCAGAAACAGACTTTAAAAGTCTGTAGATACAGGACTCCCCCTCTCAGGGACTCAGATACAGCTCAGGGACTCAGATGACAATAAAAAGCCTACTTGGAGGGGTAGTTGTGACCAGAAAGTGGCTAGAGAACCCCTTCTTATGTGTGAAGGTAAACCTGATAAGACATTAATAAACCTTGGCACTACTTTAAAAGACTGGAAATAATGTTTAATAGTCATTGTGACAATTTATGTTTTGTTTTTAGGGCACATAAAATGTTTAAGAGAAGGTGCTCTTCCCCTTCCATCTGACCCTAGCTTATCAGGTCTCACCAGGACTGGCTGCAATGTCCTCCTCTGTGGCCTAGCGAGGCTGCTCCTCACACGGGGGGCTGGGGAGGTCAAAGAGCCAGCCATAGATTCATGCCAGAGACAGTCCCTGTTCCCCTTACTAGGGAAGCCACTTGGATACTGAGCTGCCATGGGCTACACCCAAGCAGGGGTTCTAGGTTATAGAGGGGCAAGGAGGAGATGAGGGAGGGTGGGTGGGATTGGGAGGGAATGAGGGAGGGGGCTACAGCTGGGATCCAAAGTAAATAAACTGTAATTAATATAAAAATAAAAAATTATAATAAAAATATTTAAGAGATTTTGTCATATTAATAAACCATAGACGAACTTCACAAAATTTGTACTTAATGATTTACTATCCAGGAGCAACTAATTTATAAAATTTTAGCTTAAATGTATACAAAGACTTGGACAACAACATGAGGTACCAGGGCTTTATATGAGGTAAAATGGAAAGACAGATACACCACACCTATAACTAGTAACTAAAATGAGTACTTCAGGCTGAGCTGAGAATAGCTGGGAAAACTTCAACCGGCAAAATTTATAAAAGCCTGATGCATCAATTTAATAACAAGTGAAAGTGAAATTTTAAAAATTTGTATGGAAAAAGGGTCTATATGTAAGTCAAGGTTTATAATTTGAGCTTAGAGCTTTAGGAAGTAATTGGATTTTAAAACCACAATGTGAAAAACCAAATATTAATTAGCACATAAAGCACTATAAATATATGAGTTCATGCTACATGCCTTTAGCTTTAGATATTACCCAACTGGCTTTCTTATAATATTGTTTTGTGCTATATAAAAAGCCTAGAAAAAAACCCCACAAATCTATGAAAAAGGGGAAATTCTAGGCGATGAGTGAGGTGAACAAGATCATCTTGAATTTTCTTGGATTTCTTATCTGTTTTTTCAATGTACATGGACTCTATATCCAATAGTAGAAAGCAAAATGTCACATACAAAGGTTCATTTTTTCTTTTTAAGAAACAAGAGGTCTGTTACAACTCTTCTAAACTTAAACGTGTTCCCACAGCAAATATTTAAGATTTCAATATAATTAAGAAAAATAATGCTCCGGCTAAGAAATGTTCCTGCCACAGACACACATGAAAGCAGCTGGGAGTTCACAGTTCATCCTCTGAACCACACCATCTTAATAACAGCGAGACAGGCATAAAACTAATGATAAAGGTACAAGCTGACAAAGAGCAAGACAGGGAGTCCAGTTGGGAAAGTGACTGTCCTCTCCTTTTGCTCACTAAGGGTGTGCTTTTGGTTTGTATTTTGTGAGTGCTAGAGTTCTAGAAAGGAAAAATGACTTGGAGTCCTATTCATCAGGCTGTAAGCCATACCACCATGACACTTCTAATAAAACTGCAAATGGGTCTGTCTGGTTCTGAAGTAAGAAAAAGAAGCATTTGTGAAACACTGTCCTCTCCTCCTGCCACATTTCAGCTAAGTCTACTTTCTCTGCATTCCCTGAAAACCAGAGATGATCTGGATTCTACTATTGACAACACCAGTTCAGGGTTTCAAAACCCAGAGAGAGAGAGAGAGAGAGAGAGAGAGAGAGAGAGAGAGAGAGAGAGAAAGAGAGGAGAGACTGATTACAAGTATCTTTCTCTCTCTCTCTCTCTAAATTTCTAGAGAAAATACAAAGCTAGAATATCTGGCTATCCTTTCCCTCTCACCTCCTGAAGCTCCTCTCCTCCTTTCTGCTTTAAGTAGTTACTAACAGTAAACAACCATATGAGCACATGCACTCACACATGGCCTGACTGGGCCTCTTGCTTGTAACTTATTAAAAAGCAGTAATTATATCAATTATATATAACGGCCCAAATAAGTCATTAAAATGGGGTAAATCTTATTTTAGGGTGCACTGTACACCCTGCACCTATCCCAGCCTGCTGTGTCTCTCCCCACTCCACCAAAGGCCCATGAGACAGGTCTGCCACAGGGTGTAATGCTTCCTTCCTGAGGGGCCCCTGGTCTGGACCCTCCAAGAGCAGATCCCCACCTGCTGCGTCTAGCTTAAGTTCTTCCCTAAGGAAGGCCTGAAGATGCTACCAACCTGCCTAGATGTAAAGCTTCTTGGGGATGGAAACTGAGCCCTTTTTGTGTGTTCCACGGGTGTGAGATGAACAGGTTTTCATGAACACAAAACCCCATGAAATTTAAGATGGGGGCAAAAAGAGAGGAGGAAAAAGAATAGGAAAACGGAGGGAGAAACAGGGAAGGCAGTTCACCATCAGAGAACTCATAAACTGGGACCTCAACAAGTGGATTCAAAACACACCCAAACACAAGCACGGACAAGACTACAGTCTTAGCTCTTCCTGCCCATAACACTGTGTCTCTGCAGCCACACTCACCCTCTTCCACAGTCAGCAGGTTCCCCAGGTCTGCTGATGAATGATACTGGATGGGCTCGGAGCTCCTCACATTTGCCAGAGGCAGGAAGGGGTCATAATCCGTGGACGACAAGTCCGCTAAGGTCAGAGTGTAGTGACTCTGCTGCGTGTATGTGCTTGAGCCACAGACACAGCAGTGAAGAACCTGAGGAGAGCAGATAGGAATGGCATGCTGCATCGCACCCTTCCTGAGCCCGCACCAACTGTCCAGCTCCCACAGTACTCAAGAGACAGGAGGACTCCTTCCTAGGAACATGTCAGAATATGGGCTTCTTTCCATTCTTAAGTTTTTTGTTTTTAACGGAAAACATGGGGAAAAGGTGCCTGTTTCTGTTCTTGTTGCACACACCTCAGCCTTTCATCCTCCAAAGGCAACAAGGACAAAGGAGCCAGCCCAGGTGATGAAAGAAGGCTGTGGGAAAGCCCTCATGGTAGATGGAAGGGTGGCTACAACCTGAGTTTAAATCAGTACAACACATGAGTCCATAAATTATTAGAAATGATTTACTACAACTTTGAAAGTATAATTAAAAGTAAAGTAAATACAGATTTCAAAGTCTCTTACTTCTCACCAAGGGAGATTTTTTAACTCATAACCCTAAGGATTTTTTCCTGTGTGTGCTTTTACTTTTATTTTGGTTCTGACTGTGAGTCAGGGTCTTATTACACCGCCTAGGCTGCCTTGAGCTCAAGGCAGTCCTTTTGCCCCCATGACCCAAACACTGGGATTACAATCATGCACAGCCACAGCTGCCTCCTGGGGTGTATTTAAGGCAAAGAGATTACTGCAAGCATTAAGGTGGTTTTTTTCATACTATGATAAACAAGATCTTTGTGAAGCTGATGCTGCAGACCCTCCTATATTATAAACAGTCCATTTTGAAATGAAGTAGACAGATCATGTGCCATGAAGACTGGGAACATTCTGACCAAATGGCAATTGTTTAAAGGTGACAGTCATGTGAATGTATGTATCTTCGCCTTGGTGACTACTGATTCTCTACAACTGTTTCTGTTTTGCTTACTCATTAATTACTCATCTCTTTCCAAATGCATAACCTGTGGAAACAGGTCATTTTCAGAAAGCACAAATACATAAATGCACAACACTTTGGTAATTTTTAATCTGTAAGTCCATGGTCTGTGTCCAAAGCTTAGAGGAGACTCACCCTGTAGATATAATCCAACAAGGGAGCCCGGGATGGATGCAGCTCCTCCAGGACTGCGGTGGACACAGGGTGGAGAAGGGCACTCACAGGCAGCGCCATGCACCAGTCCAAGAGGCAGAGGAGCAAGGACACAATAAACTAGAAGAAGAAACATATCCAGAATTTACACTATGGCCCTTAGGGCCTCCTGCATGTAAAAATAAACAGAACTGTCCCTCTATATACTCAATATTTAATGATCACACAAATGCAAGGGGAATAAGTAAGCAAAAAAGAGCTTACATGGGAGAAATGTTAAAGCCAACATTAAAAATATGACATTTATAACATCTGTAATATTAGTTACCATTCTGGGAAAAGCAACCTAACATGTCACTTACCTTTTTATCTGTTTCCACTGAGGAGTACTCTGCACTTGGTAAAAGGAATGCAATTGTGGCCACAAGTATCTGCATGAAAGATAAAACCCAGTCAAGCAGAGAATAATTACAGTTTAGAAGCCATATGTTAAGAATCCCAAGATGGCCTTGCAGCTAAACACAGCTCGGTGACTACTCACTGGACGATGATCCTGCACGGAGGGCTACTTGTAGGAGATTTGAAAATTACCATTATGCAATGGTTTCTATTTCTTTTATGGGGCACTGAGACTTCAAGGCTAGGATAGTTCTCCCTATAGTCACGTAATTTCTACTATTAGTCCCACATTTCTAGTAAAGTGAAAAAAAGTTTTCAAAAATAATTATGGAAAGGTTCCCATTTGCAGTCTTGTAAGTCAGCACAGGTCCCCACCTCCTGTTCTGACATCACAGCACGCTGCTCATTCCCACAGGTGTCCTGTCTAGATAATAGCAAGGTGACACTAAGCCCAACTTTACATTCTACAGCAGAGTAAAAGGCCACTTGAGGTCAAAAACCTCTTATGACTCTTGATGTGACTCCAAGATGACAAAGTGGTCTCAACCAGTGAAGTCCGTCTAGGGTTGGAAGGAAATGAATCTGCATCACTTCTTTTCTCTCCCAGCAATCCTTTATGGGGACAAACCAAATTTCTTCAGTCTCCACTGGATGGGCAAAAACAGGGCTTGCTTGAAGAAGTAGTTGTAAAAAGTGCCAGGCACTGCTGTGCTGTATCATAGGCACCTGTGAGTTAGTCCCTGCCTGGCTCTGAGCAAAGACTCCTGGGTTGTAGCCGACCTCCAAGAAACTGTGGCTGAGATGACACTTCCTGTTCCTCCTGCCCATTCTCCCAGCCACCACCCCCTCAGAGATTAATCCTGCACTGATCTCATTACTTTGAGTAACCATGCCACAGCAGCAAGCGTGGCCCAGGGCTTTAGCCTGGGAACAACTCCTGCTTTACACAACAGTCAGACCCCGCCCCGCAAAGAAGGCATTAAACCAGCTGCCTACTCCTTGTTGGCACCATCCAAATTACTCTCAATGAATAAAGCCCAACCTACAAAAGGTCTCTTTGTTGTGGTTGTGTCTGCCTTTCAAACTCTCCAAGCATCAGCCTCTGCCCTGGAACACTGCAGGCTTCTTTGCATAGTGACTAGAATCGCAGCTGAGAAGAGCCAGCCAATACTGCCTGAAAGCAGGGCTCACATGGCAGTTTAATAGTTGTTTCTCTAACAATTATTTGAGTATCTATAGTTAATTAGCCATCAAATACATTATTAAGAAGGTGATATGGACACTTTAGCATTATAGCTAAAGGACTTACTTCTGCCATTTTTCGAGGAAGAGCAGTTTCAAACCTCTGAAGATTTTCCCAGTAGGAAACCAACATCTGAAGAACATCACAGGCTACCTGAGCCACAATCTTGTTAGGAAACTACAAAAGGAACCAAAACCCCAAGTCAACAGAGCAACTCAGCAAGTGTACATTCTGGAGGAAGAACAGGCCATTTGCTCTTCCCAGCCCTAAAAACACATCTTATATGCAATTGATGAAAACTATGTCCAATAAACATTGTTTGTACATGACCACTCCGTTCCGTTTTGTTGCCCGCTTGGACTCATCCACATTAATTTATATATTCTGTACAAGAGGTGGTTATTATTTGCCTAGAAATTAAAGCCCAAATTTCAAATGCTGTATTAAGCTCACATAAATCGTACTATCGACAACCTGAGGATATTAGAGTATATGGTTACGTGTTCTCTGTGAGCTGAACCTTCAGCATAAATGTAACCAATTCTGTCACTGATAAATTGTCATTAACAGTTCTGTAAGAAAGATGCTTTCTTCGGAAAAACAGAATTAATCAAATGACTTTCTACCCAAGGAAATAAAAACAGCACACAAGTAACATACTAAGAAATGTGTAAGGAGCTGGAGAGACGGCTCAGAGGTTAAGAGAACTGGTTGCTCTTCCAGAGATCCTGAATTCAATTCCCAGCAACCACATGGTGGCCCACAACCATCTAGAATGAGATCTAGTGCCCTCTTCCGGCCTTCAGGTGTACATGCAGACAGAACATTGTACTCATAATAAAGAAATAAATCTTTAAAAAAAAAAAAAAAGAAATGTGTAAAATCAGAACTTAAAGATATAATCTATGGACCCGGGTATGTTCAATAATTCTGGGTGTGTCTTCTAAAGCTGTCTGTGCTAGCTTGAAAGAGAATGGCTCCCATTGGCTAGTATATACTTCAGTCAAAAAAACTGGAAGGGCAGATCTTTGACATCAGACATAGAGATATAAGATTTGCAATCTTTCTTGCTGAGTTTTGGTATTCCATTATTTCCTCACTATGCCTTGATTCCTACCTTTTGAAATAGTAAACGTATACTGTGTTATTGTATGTTGGAATGACATTTGCTTTTATAATTTACAAGGGGTTATAGTTAAGAGATTGCCTTGAGTCTCAGAAGGGACTTTGAACTTTTAAACTGTATTGAGACTGTGATAGACTCAGATGACTTTTGAAGTTGGACCGAATGTAGACTGCATTATGATACGGCCACAAGCCTATGCGAACCAGGAAGTGGAATGTGGTAGTTTGAATGAGAATGGCATCCAAAAGATTTTCTGTTTAAAAACTTGGTCCCAAGTAGTTACAACTATTTGGGAAGGTATGTCACTTTGGGTGAGCTCAGATTTCCATCTACCTCTTGACTGCTGTCTCAGAATGTGATAGCACAGCTACTGCTCCAGCACCGTGCTGCCTGCTTGCTGTAGGGCTTCCTGCCATGACAGACATGAACTCTAACCCTCTGGAACTGTAAGCTCCAATAAACTCTTTATCCGAATAGCTGCTTTCAGCATAGTTTCTCTTTACAGAATTTTCTTTTGAGGTAGATGTCAAAGAGGTAATATGTGCAAAGCCTTCAACATCTTGCTAAGTATACATGAATGGGACAAGGACCTGTGCTTCCTGTCTTGGCCAGAACCTAGAGGCTACAATACTCTCTGTGCCTCATTATTGACAGTCAATGGCCCTGTGTTGCTTAATCTATATCACATGAACACTCAGGGGCTCTTCACAGCCCTCCTCCCTCATCTAGACTCCAGATGACCTGAATGTCCCTGGCCTCTTCATACCCCTCAAACACCCTGGGTGTTTCTGTCCTTTGCACTTGTTCCTGGCTTTGCTTCAGATTTTTTAGTTCTCAGGTCTACTGTGCCTGGCACTGCTATATTGCTCAGATCCTCACACAAGATTTTACTGTCTCCATGAAGTAGTCCACACCTTCAGTTTTATTCCATCCTGTTTCATTTCCTCTACAGCAGTACTATAAGAAACTGTAATACATTTTCCTATTTTCTTAAATTGTTACCACTATTGGTAGGGCCAGCAGTGGGATATGCATGTCCTATTCTAGGGGAAGATGAAGCACTGAGGAAGTAGAAGAACGAATGGATGCTAGTAAGGCTCTTACCAGGCTAGAAACGACAATGGGAAAAGAACAAGGGCTGTGGGAGACAAGAAAAGGGGCTTAGGACAGAATAGGGAAACATGGAGCAGTCAGAGACAAAGTAGTAGGATGGAGGGCTGAGCTGATCCTAGAAGGATGCAGATGGAGAGCTGAGCTTCCCTCTATGTGAGCATCAGTATGTGTGTGCAGAGGAGGCACAGGCTCTGAGGCAGGCAGTGAAGGATCTTGAGACAGGGACTGCTAGGGTAGCAGTATCCATACAAGTGAGTGATGTGGAGGATGGCAGAGATAAAAGAAACTACTCACTCACACAGCTATCACACAACCATGGAAGACTGACAACATGCCAACGCTGAATTAAAGGCAAAGAGCTGAAGGCACAAGCTGAGTACAATAGGTGAGTATAGCTTGTATTTCCTAGAAACTGGAGTTGCTATGGAGCAGGCTGGTGTCTGTCTTGCATTATCTGCCAAGTACTCTAGCCTGTGGGTCGGATTGGTCAGATCTATGCACAAACTGTAACAACCTGGCACTGTGATGAACACTCTGATAGGAAAAAGGCACAAGTGTTTTTTTTTTTTTTTTTTTTTTTTTCCTGGTGCCTTTGTTTTCCTTCATAAATACAGAAAATCTGCAGGCATTTTGAGAATTCATACAAAGAAGAAAATCTGTCCTTCTGTGATTCTGCACCTCTGTTATTTAAACTCTCTGGAATAAACGATCTCTTTATTTATCTAACGTGTATGGGTGCTATGTTTGCATGGATGGCTGCACCAGGTGCATGCCTGGTGTCCTGGCAGTTCAGAATGAGACACAAAATCCCCAACGACCAGAGTTACATCGTTTTGAACTGTGGGTGCTGAGAACTGAACCTATGTCCTCTAGAAGAGCAGCCAGTTCTCTTAACCACAGAGTCACCCCTCCAACCCCAAGCTGCCATCAATTTCTAGCTCTGTTCCATACTATATAGGAAGTTCTACATTTCTAAGACACCATCAAATTACTAAGTGTTCTTAGGTAAAGGATAAAGCTAGAAAACTAACTTAAATTAAATGTGTATGTTTAGATTTCAGAAAAGAAAGAAAAAACTGAAAAATACCCTAGAATTGAGAAAAATGGGCTATTTTCAAGGTAAATTGAGATCCACACACATCAACAACTTATATCCAGTAGTTTTTCTTCTGTGGTTTGGAAGTCAGTGTCCTGAACACTGAAACTGTACGAAGCCCCAGGTATGAGGACGAAGGATCCTGGTTGGACCTGTCAAGAGTCTCAGTCAATCCATTCTCCTCATCTGTTACATCTGAGGTAGCAGTGTCACTTCACCTCCTGAGATAGTTCCCAGGATTAAATATGATAGCAAGGGCCAGGCCAGAGGGAACTGTGCCACGTGGCATCACTGTTGACACATTCTTATATTCTTCATTAAGGGATCAGTAGCAGGTACTTGCCCAGATTCTAGGACATAACCTAGGTGTTATACAGAAGAAAAGGGGGATGAGGTGATGGGGGTTAGAGGACACACATAGGGAACAAGAGGTGTTGAGTTTGGTCAGGCAGGGGCCAGACCACAGTTTTCCATTCCAAGGATGAAGAACAATGTGGGTTGATCATCCCATGGGCCAAAGATGACAATGCACAAAGGGCAAACAGGGCTGCCATTGGTCTAATGACAATTTCCCAGCACCTGCTGTACCCACTGTTACTATCATAGCTGCAAGAAAGAAAAGAAAGAAGGGCCTAGTATTAGACAGATGGTTTAGAGTTTCAGTTTAGATTCAGCAGTCCCACAGCATAAAAAGCTCCTGAGATCTGCATATTACTCTTCTCCTTCTCTAGTAAAGTGGGAACACTTCCTTTGCCACTGACAACTGGCAAGCCCTGGACACAGTACCTGGCTGAGTCACCACTGGTTCTGCAAATTTGATAGTAACAGTGTTAATGATGTCTACTGTTTCTGCGCAGGGACCAAGAAGGCAGGATGCAGGCTCTGCTTTCGGAGGCAGCCTACCTATATGAGTGGAAGTTCAGTTCTGTCTTGTATGCCTCACATATCCACAATCAATTCCAGATCTACCACTCATGCCTATATTGCCCTGGACTTGTGACTGATTTCTCTGGGACTTGATTTCCTCTGGTATAAAACAGGGATTCTGGTGCTCACCTTGCAGAGCTATACAGACATTCTAAAAAGTATCTAGAGATTACCAGTATTCTAGTTTCATGTGATGCTCAATAAGCAGCGCATCCCTGAATAACAAAGCAAAGAGAGAAGATGCTCCAAATGCCTCAAGTTCAGGCAGCAGGTGAACACTCAGGCTCCTAAGAGGAAGCTGCAGCTTCCTACCCACTCATGCCAGAGAGGTCACTGTCTTACATCCTGCGATGTCCGTCACTAGACAAGCCGTAACTGACTTTGGCCTGGTCCACAAACACTCAAGACTATAAGGGGCCTGAGAACAACTGTCAACAGGGAGGCACCCTTGCAGAATATCACCATAGCACTCAGAACGGGACCTTTTAACCACCCTCTCTCTATTATGAAGAGAGATGCAAAAATGGGCTAAAACTGGTAAAAATCCTAAGAGAGAATTTAATGTCACAAAAGCACTGAAAAACAGAATACCTTCAATGTTACACCTATCACGTTGATGGCGTCTTTCACCTGAGGGTGGCTGGCACACTGTGCCAGCTCTTCACAGATCCAGACCCCGAGGGAGCAAATGGCAATGCATCTTTCAAAAGAGAAGCAAAGGGGGGAAAACGCTCATGAGACATAGAATATAGGATAAACACACTAAAATCTGTACACCTAAAGAAACTAATCAAGAAGAAGGACTCTGGGTAAGAAATTTAATATATTTTAAAGTGACAAAATGCTTTTAAATCTATTCATTCAAAGGAACAGCAATTACAGCTATACTAACAGAATATTTTTCCGTGAGAGAAAAGATGAATAACTTCCAGTGGGCCAGTTTTCAGGATAAACAAAATCACCAATTTTACTTAAATATTTCATGAAACAAGTGGCATATTTTTTGTTAATGACTACAATCCATGTCACCATTTTTGTTGACTCTAAATGTTATTACATTTTATTGTTAAGATAATTTTGAAAAGGAACAAAAAGCATGGATTTTAGACTATTGAAAGTTGGATTTGTAATTGTTTTTCTTATAAAGTATATAGTACATACTTCAAATGTAAGACGAACACTATACCTGATTTTAAAGTAACTTTCAAAATAAATATATTTTCATTGTTATTTCTTCTAAACTCCATGCTAATATAAACTATTCTTCAAAGAAATTGCGACTTTCTATAAATAAAACAAGTCGGGGAAAGGAATTATAAAGATTATTTGATAAGCATGAGAAAATTTAAAAAAAAAAAAAATCAAAGGTATTCCACAAGACCTCAGGCTGAAAATCTGAGTAGATAACACTTTTGTTCTTTGAGGTGAAATTTGAGAGGGCATCAGACTTAATAGGACAGGGGATGTGAGAAGGCACTAGATTCAGTCATGGCTGTGTGACATTTGGACGTTAAGCCATCCACCTTGAGGTATCAAGTGTGTGGTTTGACAGCTAAACCTGGCTATACAAGAGAGTCATTAAAAAGGCAAGTAAATTATTTGGGAATGACTAACAAGTATTTACAAACTGGCTAGAATGTATGAGTGTAGGCCTAGACCCAGCCGCTGGGTCACTTTCACATGCAGAGTCAAACAGAGACGGGAGCAAGCATGAGGGGCAGGAAGGGAAGACTGTCAGAAGACAGGGGCATGGTGTTTTGAAAAGGGAAAGACAGACTGTTAAAAATCCTATTAAAATTTCTAGAATGGAAACCCAGGACAATGAAACTGACTGTGGAAAAGAAAAATTAAAAGCCAATAAAGAAAGCATAGAAAAAGAGCCAGAAAACAAAGGTAATAAATGGGAGGAATGCTTAGGAATGAAATTAAAAACAAAAATTAAATAAGATAAAGAACACATGCAAAAGATAACCGGTAAAAACAAATACAAATGAACTAAAGTTTCAGTTAAAAGATGAAGATCATATAACTTTTACAATCATAAAATCCAGGTTCATACAGCTTTTTGCAAAGGCATCGTAAAGAGAATACAGAAAAGGTATTTTTTAAAAGGTTAAAAGCATTATATAGTATAAAATCAGGAGCAGATAAAGTGATCTCTAAAAATAAAACAAATTATTAATAAAAACAAAGAGGGTCATACAGATATAAATACATTTGGTTCACTATAGAGATAGACAGTTCCAAATGCCTATACAACTAATAACACAGCCTTTGACAGAAATACCAGAAAACAGATTAAGTTACAACAGTGGGAAGCCTTTAACATATATCTCAGTAAATGATCAAATTAACAATAAAAACCCAGAAGGAATGCAGATTATGCCTAAAAAAGTATACCTAATAATTAAAGAACAGTATGCACATTCCCTTCTTTCTCTTTTTAAATGGAATATTTTTCATTGTTACTTAATGTTTCGGGGTGTTTTGCATGTATATCTGGTATATCTGTAGTGTACAAGGAGGCCAGAAAAGAGCATTGGATCACCTCGGATTGGAGCTACAGATGATTGTGAGCCATTATGTGAGCACTGGGGTCCAAACTGGAGTCCTTTGCAAGAACACCAAGTGCTCTTAATGACTGAGCCATCTCTCTAGCCCTTACGTACATTATTTTCAAGCATATGTGGGACATCTGCTAAAAGTGACGATAGATGGGGGCATAAAGTAAATATTAACGACTTTAAATACAGTCATCACACATAGATTTCGGTCTACACTGTAATCATGTGAGACAAAAGTAGTAATAAAAAGATAGAAATAGAGGGTGGAGATGGGTCAGCAGTTAAGAGCACTTGTTGCTCTTGTGAAGAACCAGGGTTCAGTTTCCAGCACCAACATGGTAGCTCACATCCATGCAAAACACTAATTCATATAAAATAAAAGAGATAAGTCTGAAAAATTTTAAAAGATAGAATTAACCATATATTTGGAAATTAATAAAAAAACACATGATCCCATGAAGGAATCATAATGAAAATTAGAAAAAATATAATTGAAAAATATTGACTATTAAAACCTGAAAGTTTGGAAAAGGTAGCCCTTAATGATAAACTGTTTACAAAACTCATAAATGTTAAAGGAAAAAGGTTAAAAATACACCAAGCATACATCTTTTAAAAGCAACAAAAGAATAATATTACAAGCCTAGGAGTGCAAGAGCCCAAAGCTGGAAATAAAAACAAACGTAAGCAAAGACAAAAACTTACTGTTTGAAAAAACTAGTAACAGTGGCAAATGTAACAAGACTAGCCATACAACCAGAGACTACACGAAATAATTAACAGCAAAGACGAAATGGACAAATTCTTGGACCCTTTTACTAGTAAACTCTACTACTGTACAAGGACACGAATCCTACTGCTGCAAAAGAGACTCTGAGACTCTCTGATCTGACATCCAAACAGGGTGAAGGCATGATGGGGATGGAAAAGTACAGGCTGTGGGTGTAATATAACTTCCTGCACCAGAATCTATAAATCAAGGTGGGTATATCTCATACTCAAGTTTAGTTCAATGTTAACAAACTGGTAATGTACATAGCTTCTGAAAATGGCAGACTAGGAAAACTGGGTTAATCTATCTACTGAAGATAAGTTCAAAAAATACAAAAAAAATTAATAAGCTTTAAAATCACAAGAGTTCACAAGACAGTAAAGAATTATGGGCCTCCATCTTCCCATGCGCCAAAGGGCCAGGACATGTGCTAATTGCTTTGAGACACTCAGAGGCTGAAGTGGCTTCACGAGGTTGGAAGCTGAGTTTGGGAGATGGAAGTTCTCTTTATCAGCAGTCCCAGCTCTGGCCTTCACCTTGAGGGGAGAGGCGGGGACTTCTTTCCATAGCTGGCCTATCTTGGTCACAGATTGTAGCAGTCCTAGACGCTTGGCAGAAACACCCAAATGTTTCCACACATTGCCAAATGTCTCCTGAGTCACAAATCACCTTCAGTTCACAATCTCTGCCTGAAACATACAGGTTTCACAAACCGTTGCTTTACCCTCCGCCCTACTAAAGACATCAATTATTTCTAATTTGCATTATCTTGTGTAGAAGGCTATGCGCTCCATATAACACTCTGCCTTTCCCCTTCCCTAGTAAGATGACATCTTAAGTAGCTAAGCACAGCGTATGCTCACTATGCTTGTCAGTGCCTGTGAGAGAAATGCACAGGAGTGTTAAAAACAGTAACTGTTCATACATAAATGTGCATCTTAAAACTCTAACAGATTACCTCTTAGTCATCATTTACCTTGCACATTCATTTGGTTCCTCGGTAGCATTCTTCAGTAAAATATTTATGAGGTAATGCTAAAAACACAAAATTCAGTAAATGAAAATTTGATGTCACTGTTGGTTTCCCGCATGTGCTGACCATGTCACAGGCACCCTGGAGCTAGCAAAAGGCCAGGGAGTTCGGGCAGCCCTTCCTTCAGGGAGACGTTGGCTCACCTCAGCAAGTGCCTCCCTGGGTAACTGAGCCAACCTGCAGTACAGCATTTCTAGGGATCCAGTGGAAATCAAGCAAAGCATCTGAGACTTCCAGATAGGAAAATCTCCATTTTATTTTGATTGGATTAGACACTGTACATTGAATTACAGATTATAATCAGGTATTACAGATTTGATTGACTAATGCTGGGATTTTTTTTGTTTGCTTCAAAAGCCAGCTGAGGACAGAACAAAAAATGCTTATTTTTATTCCCCAAGAAATAATTTGGAATTTCAGGTTATTAGTAGCATTTAATCAGGCCAGCAATGGGATTGAATATTTAGCTTACTGGAATTATTCCTTATAAATTCATTTGCTACACTAATGCAGCATAACTAAGCTAACAGAATTATTACAAATGATGATTCATTACATAATTATGATCCCTAGGAACGATAAACAGACCTAATTAAAAAAAAAAAACACCAGAGGAACAGAGCTATTAGGTCTAACTGCAATGTGCTATGAATGTGATACATTCACATTCACAGACCGTACAACGCACTTCTGAAAACAGCTACTGAAGCTTTCAAAGGACTGCAAATGTCAGGGGAGTGGATCAGTGCGTAGGATGGAAGACACAGTGCTGTGGCTCCAGCAGTAGATGCTAAACTTGAGATTCAGTTATGTACCTTGACGTCTTCGGTTCCTGTGATGACCTCACTCACTTCCGGCACTGACTGCAGCAGGGGGATCTCCTGGTAGGTATTTGGGAAGCAGACGAGGGAACCAAGGAGAGTGAGAGCTTCCAACCGGGGTGCCTGCACATGAGGGAAACACCAAGTTTCTTTACATAGGCTGGAAGCTTCTTGAAGAACACATTTTACTCTGTTCTGGTTTTGAGAAGGAAGCTAACATTTTTCCTTCTGGGTATGAAGTACCAAACTACTTCTGGTTATTTTCCTGGTTAGGCAAGATAAGTCTGATAGATGAAAATGCAAATTCCAGGAAAATAAAAAATCTCCATGTTTGATGCAAGTAAGTGCTATAAAAACCAGTCTACAGATTTATTCAGAGTCAGAACAGCAAAGGGCTCTGTCACGGTTGCTTTAAATCATTTGGTGTTCATGATTTTGACAGAACAAAGTAAATGAGAACGGCCTAACATTACTTTTCAAGCAAAAAGCAAGGGTATTCATAAGGAGGGGAGTTGGAGGTAGTCATCCACAGGGAGACAGGCAAAGAATAGTGCCAGCTGGGAATGGAGCCATGGCATCAGGAGTAAAGTCAGTATGCAATGCTTTGTGCACTGAAGGTTTGGAGTGACTACTGTGAACTACTAACGATGGCCTAAGTCAGACATGGTGAGAACTTTGCCTGATGACTTCCATGGTACACACCCAGCGGATACCACCAGTCTCAGTCTCATCTGACTTCAGAGGCATGTGACACAGTTCAAGGCTCCCTTGCAGTATGAGCACTTACATCACGTGGCTTCTGGGACACTTTCCAAAGAGCCCTGAGAGCTGCGCTTGCTAGAACTGCCCATTTCTTTATGACCCAACATTTGGGGTGTTGTCTGTGGTTCTTGCCCTCTCCACTCACTGATCCATACTAAGTCCAAGAGTGACCTAGACTTAGGGCTCGCCAGGATATGAGTACACCAATGTTTTTGTTCTGCTGCTGATGGATATTTGGACTGGTTCTAGCTTTGGCTATTAAATATGGCTGTGGTGTGGAAGCTTCCACCACAGATTTCTTTGGTGCATGCATGTCTTTCTCTAGTTGCCTGAGCAAGCAGGGATGCTTCACATTCATAATTAACTGGGATATCTGAAAACTGGCTGGGCAGGTGTGCTTAAGCCATGCACCTGTCACCAGGTGCACAGCTTCAAACCTCACATTTATACAAGAGTGTAATTCAAAGAATCATTCTCTCCTTTATATAAATGTTAAATTCATATTCTCTCCATTTAAAACACCATTTTGGAAAGCTATTTTTTTTTATTTAGCATTACTGAGGTATAAAATTACTGATAGAAAAAATTATATACACTTAAGCATTTCTCAACCTATGGGTTGTGACCCCCAGAGGGGTTTTATATCAGATATCCTACAGATTGGATATATACAATATGATACAGATCAGTAGCAAAATTACAGTTATGAAGTAGCAACAAAATAATTGAACAGTTTGGGGTCACCACAACATGAGGAACTGTATTAAAGGGTCATATCATTAGAAAGTTGAGAAGTTGATTTAAGGGGTATAACACATATATGTATGTGTATGTATATGGTTAAAAGCATATACTGTAAAATGAAAGCTACAAATAAGCTTAATTAACCCATCTATGATCCCAGACAGCTGTCCTCTTTCATGGAGGAACATTCTCTTGATAATTTCAACTTTACAATAAAATTCAATAAAATATTTCGAAACATGACCATATTGTACAGTACAGGAAGTCTCAAGAAAACTTATCAAAACTCTCTACACTTTGACCAACATACCCATTTACAGCCCATTCCAGCCCTTAGCAAACACCAGACTACGCTTTGCTTCTGTTCATTTGACTTTTAATATTTCACATGTCACAGACATGGTGCAGGCCCATGTCTGGCTTATTTTACAGGAAAATGGCTTCTGGAATCACTCATGTTGTCAAAGATGACAAGATTCTTCGTTTTTAACGATGAAGAATATTCTACTGTATGCATCCCATTTGTTCATACACACGTACACACACTGTGAGTTGTTACTATAACTTGTTAACTGGGAATAATGCTGCAGTGAGCATGAGGGGCAGTTTTTCCTTTAACATGCTGATTCTGCTTCCTTTGGCCATACATCTTAGCAGAATTAACAGATCACTTAGTGGTTTTATTAATTTTTAAAAGTCATTTTATTTTCAAAAATGGCGGTACCCATTTGCTCTTCTATAATGGGCTGTAGATGTTCGGTTCGATGGACATCCTCCTAGCAGGTAATAAAATCCTCACGAAGTATGAGTGTCTTGCCTGTGTCTTGTACTTTTCTCAACGTCGGCTTAAGGGGTTAACACTTAACAAGAAAGTTCTTAAAAGATGATTTCCTCAGTTCAGAAATAACCAAGTGGGAAAAGATGGCACATCTTAAAGAAATTTGACCTTTTTCTTCCTCATTTTTCCTTTCTCATTCTTCCTTTTTGTTCTTGTCTCTCCCCCTCTCTTTACTTTCTAGTTTAGCCTTAGAAGAAGGACATTAGGGCATAAAAATATGAGCACACATTTATCAACTTTAAAAGTATTAACTACCTCCAATGGAAAGTGAGAATTTAACCATGTATCAGACAAAATTTAGAACCTAGACTATTCATATTGAGTTCACGTACATTCCTGGCAAATCAAAATCTCATTGTCTTTACAGCGTTTGAGGAGTGGTGACTCGATAGATGAACAGCTTATGCAGACAGTGTGAGTGGGAAACACAGTCATAAGGCCTTGGCTGAACAGCACAGGTAAAGAAAGAAGGAGGGGGGTAGGGGAGAGGAGCCGCAGCAGCAGCTAGGTGTGGTGACACATGCCTGTAAAGCCTGTAATCCCAGCACTTTGGGAGGCAGAGACAATTGGATCTCTATGAGTTCAAGGCCAGCCTGGTCTACAAGGTAAGTCTGGGACAGTCAAGGCTACATAGGAAAACCCTGTCTCAAAAAACTAAAAACAAAAACAAACAAACAAACAAACAAAAAACCCAACAACAACAAAAGAATTATCAATACAAGAATTTTAGAGTTTTCCCACACATTAATAACAATATATATTCATTTCTGGTTAAAAATTAGTGTTCTAATATTTTTAAGGAAATATTTTCAGTTAGGGTAAAGCTCAGTGGTAGAAGACAAGTTTAACATATGAGAGGACCTAGATTTGATCCCAAGGACCCCAAAATTCTATTTCTTTTTATAAGACTCACAGTAAGCAAAACTAAATTTAACAAAACAACAACACATTACTTCAAATTCTCTTTTTACTTCATTTATGTCCATAATGTCATTTACTGGTGAATACTAATGAGGGTCTGTAAGACAGGCCCTGCTTTCGTGTAAATGTGCTGACATATTAGTGGGGATATGATTTCTCACACTTTGGCCTTTTGATGAAACGCCTTTCCAGTACCAGTATATCATCCTACAATTTCACAGATCAGCTGCCAGGGTATCTACTCGGAGAGCCCAGTTTCACATCGCACTAATGAGTCAACACCTGTTAAGAGTGGAGAAATCTGAGCCTTGTTAGCAATTGTGAAGTCTCCCAGGAGCCGGGATGCTGCACATTGTCATACTCACCGCCAACATGTCTGTACTGAGGACCCTGGCAGCAGCAGTGATGAAGTCCCCCACCAGCATTGAGAAGCCAGGCAAACCCAGGGAGAAAAAGCGGGGTGAGCAGTTTCTTATAATGGTGTTTAAGACATCCTGAAAAGAAAAACAGGGAAACATGGGTGTAATCTTAAGAACACAATTCCAAAGTGGTCTCCCTGTGTTCATGCATGACCACCAATTCTTAGGACAGCAGGCACCGACAGGTTTTCAAGTGAAAGAGTGCAGGAAGTGGTAACTCCAACGGTTCTCATACACATCTTTTTGGTAAAGGGAATGGGGACAGAAAACTGTACGATGGCCTATCCAAAACCCACACTGTGACACTGAGGCTAGGTAAGCATATGTCCTGTATTCCACTTGACAGTGGGCTTCTTGGACAAGCTACCAGAGTGCCGAGATAGACACACACACACACACACAAAAAAAAAAAAACCTTGCAAACACCTGTCAGTAAAGTAAAAACAGGCCTCCTTCTTTAGCCTCAATCCCCAGAGGTTTGAGCACACAGCAAGAAAGTCTTACAGGCAAAAGGACGGAAATGGCCACTCCTGTAAGTTTCAGGTACTAAGAAATGGGAATGTGGGCAGTGTGTAAGGGAGTGCTGTAGCATGAGGTACTGGGGCCAGGGAGTTGCCACAGGTCTGATGTGTGCAGGAGGCACAGACACAAAGCCAACAGCAGCCATTTGCCAGAGCTCGGCGTCGGGAGCAGCTCCCCAGCAGCTCTCTATCCTGTGTCTGTAATGGACTCCTGTGGAGGGCTGGCCGGTCCCCAACCCCCAGGCCCTCATGCCCGCCTGTGCCGGATCAGATCTACCACAGGACAGTGTTCACACCACCATGGCTAAGCACCCTCCTCTAAAGCCATCTGTGTGAGTGTGTGCATGGATAAATAGGATTAGTACGAAAAACTACAATCTTCTTTTACACAGACTCTGGCTAGGCACATTAAAAAAACACACTAAAGTACTTTAGTTGTGTGACTTGCTGCCGTGCAACTGATAGTTAGTGTCAATATACAAGTAAATAGCAAAACATAAGAACCATGGCTGTCGGCGTAGCTATCTGAATAATCCCTACAAAAGAGTACGGACCTCGCTATTAAATCAGAGCAAGGCATAGCAACATGCTAATTTCCAAAGTTGTAATCTTAGGCCCTTCATAATAAGATTCACCTCATTTTACAACTTGTCTTCTTAAACACAACTTATATGTGCTCACAAAACTTTTCCCTAAGACATTTTTCTTATAGTAAACACATTAAATTTACATATAATACTATTTATATGGTTCAAATTACCATATAATACTTACTATATTAGTCCTCACATATTGATAAGTAGTTTAGCTTAAAACTTGAAGTTTTGGCATTTCAGAGGACTTACACAAAAATAAATGGATATACAAGATTTATAGGTAAAAGACAAGATAAATATATCATAGGTAGGTAGGTAGGTAGGTAGATAGATAGATAGATAGATAGATAGATAGATAGATAGATAGATAGATACAGACAGACAGACAGACAGACAGACAGACAATAGATGGGTAGAGATATAAAAGGAAGGAATAGAAAAAAAGAACAAACCAAGGTTTCTTCCCAGTTAATGTTTAAGCCTGCTTTAATCACGTCCTGCGATACACTTAGGGTCCCTATCAGCCAAGACAAACATTCTCTGGGCTGAGCAGATGGACCCTGCAGGTTCGAAGTGTGTAGTAGACTCATGCTCCAGGAGAGGAACAAAACAGCTACCTTTTTCATAATTAAGCCTCTGATTAATGCCCTGAGCTCCTCACCACACACCTGTAATTACTCACAGAGGTATGCATTGTGCTAGGGCCTTGTCTCAGAATATCAGGCATCACGCTATCTGGCAGCAGATGGAAGCACATTTCTGTTGACATATGCTGCAATGAAAGGATTCGTGCAAACCTGGCTAGCAAGGTAGCAGAATGCCATGCATCTGAAGATTAATAATGCAAACAGCCATGATGTTAGTTTTGTTATGTTTGCATTAATTCCATCTGTTGAGATGAGGAGCTAAAACCCTGAAGCTACGGGTTTTAAAAACCTTTAGCGCACACTAAACTCAAATGAGCCATTTTCACCATTGGAACTTAGAATTTTGGTTTAAAGATGATTTTCTGGAATATGTTTGTGAGGTTTGAAAACTGAATCCTTTAATGAGCTGAAACCGTAATTTGTAAACTTGCTTTATTGCTGCACATGCATAAAGACCTGGGGGAACCCACACTTAGAAATTACAGAACTCCCTGGTGCTGGAGATGGCAGACACAAACGTGGCTGAGAGAACGTCACAGGCTCACCCAGTCCCTGGACCTGGGCCAGGGACTTCAACTGAACTTGCTTCTATGCGCAAAGAGATGGGAAAGAGAGGGACAATAACAGATGGCAAGCCTACACTCTTTGCCACCCACGTAAGAGAGAGCCTGGAGGGAGAGTGTGCCTTTGCTGTAGTCACCAAAGACAGCACTGGGGCAGGGTTAATGCGGGGGTTAAAGAGGGGGCCATATGATCGACCAGCCAGCCAAATTACCGACACATGCTGGCTTACTTTCCTTATCTACACTGAAATGGAGCAGTCCAAACGGTCTATCTTTGAGATAACACTTTAAAATTAGGAGTAGCCACATGGTACTCAGGAGAGCATCTGCCATCCATGTTTCCAGCAGAGGACCATCCACAATGGTCTACTCATTTCTAACTCAGAGGAAAATTGTTCTTTCACCCCACTCCTCTGCCTCGAGATATTAAGATCAATCTTTGGAAATACAAAACAAAATCCTTCAGGTTCTGATAGCTGTTTACAGCCTGCAGGGCTTTCTACATGAACAAGACAGAATGGCAGTTCACAGACCCATCACTCAAGGGTTGGTCCCCATGCCCCTTTTAGTACTTATAGCCTATAAAGCCAGCATGATTTGCCTAGTAGGTTATTTTTCAAAGGGACTCACTTTTTTGAAATAAAATTATACTAGAAAATGACTACCCTTGGTCAGAAACAAAAAATACGTCTTAAAAATCAATATAATATTAACAAGCAGATGCTGAATTTTTTGTTAAAACACCCCTGGCTGCCAGACCCTTAGTTTGAGACATGTACTTCTCTTTTAAAGTGGGGGTCTGCAATGTCACAGGGCAAACAATGGTGGCTGTACTACTTCCACCTGCCCTGAAAAGGTCGTAAGAAGGGCTGTGATGAAGGAAGAGGCTGTTCTTCTCACCCAATGATTCCTTCTCTCAAGGCTGTCTCTGCTGTAACCACTGCTGGGAAATATCCCTGTGAAAGAACTCTAGAAGGGGTCACAAGGCCTGGATTAGAGACTGTGGGTTGCCCCTGGAGCAGTGTGTTTCTCTCTTTCCCTAGATGAAACGATCTCTCTTTAAAGAGCAGTAGGCAGTGAAACACAGATGCTTATAGAGGCTTTCAAAGGTCATACAGAGTAAACAGTGTTGCCAGCAAACAAGTGTTTTTCAAAATAAAGGATTTTTACTTCATATCACTTATTTCATAGGTTTGAATAATTCACTTAACGAATGTTCTAATGACCTACAGAGCAAGGGTATTTTAAAACATTTCAGAACTAACACAGAGATGTCTCTTTGATACATACATTGCCCCAGAAATTAAAAAAAAAATCCTTTCAGCACTTTAAGACAACACTTTAAACAAGCAATTAGAGGCTGTGTATATAACTTATTGGCAAACCAGAAGCAAAGTCGGGAACACAACCTTTAGGTTCTCTAAGCTTTATCCTTTAGGGGAATTCTAGAACCTAACTCAAACAAGTGAGGCTGGGAGTAAGAAGTGGCTTCTCCTATACATTCTAAACAGACTAAGTAAGTAGTTAAACTAAGCAGCAGGCTCAGTGGTAAATGGCGTTTGTAACAGGAGTCAGGCTTGTTCTTTAAGTTGACTGGGAGGAGCAGACACACTAATTTCTGCTGGAAAGAAACCACCCTATGAACTGTTGCCTTGCGGTAAACAGGACACCCAGCACATTTCCCCTCATTTTAGTGAGAGGTACAGGTGTAGGCTCTAGTGCTGAGTGCAAAACCTAGACTGTAAGATGATAATTGTGGCTTTGCAGCTTATCACAAGGTTCAGGCTTATGAGAAAGCGACTGGTGAGAACATCTGTCTCTTATCACTGATCTCGCAAAAAATCAGGTAATTCAAATAGAGGCGTGTTGTTTCCTCTCCTCCAAAGCACAGTTCTATAAACACAAACTACATCCAGCCCCTCAAATGAATCGCTTTAATTGAATGCTATGTACACAGTAACTGGAAAAACTATAAGTGATAAGGAAAACATATGGTGATGGCAGCGCAAATTGGCTTACTCATTCTGCACAGGGCTGCTTCTTTAGTTCTCTTATAATTGACCTTTAGAACGATAAATGTGTAAAATAATTTTGTTTATTACAGCTCTAAACCTTCTAACAATTACACAAAATGAAAATTTAAAAGGAAGGATTCCTTCTGGAAGCATTTCCATTGTTTACATAATTGCACAGCTATAATTCAGTGCCAGCGTTATTATGGAAAATAAAAAAGGGGCCATTACTGGCCATTTCAATTCAAAATATTGCACAGTAGTGTCAAAAATGGGGGCAAACGTTCACTTTACCACAGTATAAAATGGATTAACCCTGTACATCTAACATCTCAACATGGCATTCTTTGAAACACAAGCGTAAAGTCGTGTCCTTCCTGCTTTGGCGATGCTGTCGCTGTGCTCTCACACCAATCACATGTATATTTTTCACTTAATATTTGCTCATGACCCAGCAGATGATGGCTGTAACACAATAGCCAGCCATCTGTCTCCCTGCCTTCAAACAGATTTGGCTATCCCACCGAAAGTCACTTAGGCTTTCTGTGAGGCTGAGCAGTCAGCAAGAAATAAAAGACGCCCGTGCAAAATCACTTAACTCATTTGACTTTTCCTTTTAAGAAAAGTTGTGCAGTGAAAAGATTTCATTATGTCTATCTTTTGCCTAGTATAGACCACAGGAACCTTTTATTTGGTAACATTTGTATATCTCAATGATCTGATTAAGAAGACAGGA